TATCCATAACAAACGAATTATATCCATAATTGCCGTAAATTTGGGCGTTTTACTGTAAAGACCCAGAATATTCATTGAAAACTTGTACGGGAGGCCATCTGTGAACATACTATGAATACAAGCTCTCGAATAAACCCATCGGTCTGGAAGAACTAAAGCAAGTTTGGACGAAACCAATGAAACGCAGACGAGGGGGCGGGAATGTGTGGATGACAAGTGATGCTCAACAAACGTGATGATCATTACTGTCTGAATGCAAGATAATAAAAATAATAATAAAAACAACAACAACAATAATAATTTATTATTATTATTATTATTATTATTATTATTATCGCTGGTTATGAAAGCTAATTTACTTTTTTTGTAAGCTATTAGTATTGGCCAAATAAATCAATTAATTAAAGGCTACTATATTTTTGTTTGTTGTCAAACAAAATTCTAAAAAATGAACAAATTATCTCTGAAACAAATTAATTTAAGCACTTTAAAATATAGACCCTGATTTTCAAATGAAAATATTTTATTTATGCAGGCCTGTTTGTTATTTTTTTTCCTATACCTTTTAGCATCTATTCTAACTGGGTAATAGGCCATATTCTCAGTCATTTAAAACTTCGGAAGTCACGAAAAATTATATCAATAAATAGCATTCTTCTTTTGAATACACAAGCCAAGTAATTTCCCCGGCGTTCACTTGTTTGATCAATGACAATTTATGTCCTACCAACAGCGCCCCCTGGAGTTTGTTATATTTAGGTGCGGATGCGGTGGGAAGGGGTGATGCATGTGATCATCATCTATCAAATAGCTCTCTAATCCTTGGAGTCACTTGCAATTTTATCGTTTTGAAGATTACAAAACTGACAGATCACACATGGGGCTGGTGTGAAGAATTAAACGGCCTCGTTTCTCAACACCACTGCTCGTGATCTTTGACTCCCATGTGAGAAGAATCCAACTTCAGCCCTCATGGATTCATTTATTCACTTAGATATATTCCCAGTGACTTTAAAAATAAAAGTTCCCAGTGACTTTAAAAATTAAGATCCTGGATAGTGGAGCTATTAGTGCACAGGCACAGTTACATGAAAAAATAAAAATAAAAAAAGTCAATTTTTTTTTTTACAACATTTTAAAATATTTGTACATTTTAAAAATCACCTGTAAAAAACATGAGTAAAATAAATACAGTAATTTTTATTAAATAGCCTATGACTGTATTTTACATTGATATTTTGCTTATATCTAAAAATAGCCTACAACTGAAGGGGAAATCCATATGACTCATTAAAAATAGAGCATGATTATACAAATTTCTGCAAAAAAAAAAAAAAAAAAACCATTCCAAACTGCATACAACAGAGCAAGAGCGAGGGAGGGATGTAGACCACCGAAGGGAGAGACGGGGAGTTGGAAAAAGAGAGGGAGGGTGAGAGAGAGGGAGGAAATGGAGCAGAAGAATATGGAACTGACATAAAGGAATCTAGAATAATTCAGCCTCAAGATGAGTGAGGACTGCAAAACGGCAGACTAACGAATCCAGGGGTCGTTTCCATGGAAACCTTTGCCCAGGGAGATTGGCGACCCTCCTGTCTACTAATGCAAGCAGAGCGAAGATTGTAGGTCACATATGGGACCAACACACCAATCAGGTCTAATCTGTCTTGACTTATGGGTCATGAATTGAACCATGAAACTGGTTTTTACTTACTCTGGCTCATATCACTGATTGTGTATGTGTTTGTGTGTGCGTTTATATATATATATATATATATATACACACACACACACACACACACACACACAATCAGTGATGTGACCCTGCCATGCTAAAGTTGACTAAAGAGGAATAGAAAATCTTTTTTGGAAATTGATCTTAATGCCTTAAAAAAATGAGGAAAAATTCAACCTTTAGGGACACCAATTTTCTTTGTGAATGAATATTTGTATTGTAAATAAATAAATGTTCTACCTTAAAGGGATACTCCACCCAAAAATGAAAATTCTGCCATCATTTACTCACCCTCAAGTTGTTGCAAACCTGCATAAGTTTCTTTCTTCTGCTTAACACAAAGGAAGATATTTTGAAGAACGATTGGAACTTTGGCACCAATGACTTTCATATATTTTTTTTTCTACTATGGAAGTCAGTGGTGACAAACCACCATTTGGTTCCATTGAATCATTCTTCAAAATATCTTCCTTTGGGTTCAGCAGAAGAAAGAAACTCATACAGGTTTTCAACAACTTGAGGTTGAGTAAATGATGACAGAATTTTTTTTTTTTTTTGTGGAATATCCCTTTAAAATACAAGGACACCCCTATGCTAAATTCCCATAGAGTCAGGCAGATTTTTATTTTTAAAGGCCAGTTATTTCATGGATCAGGATAATATGCATCCTGATAAAGTTCCCTTGGCCTTTGGAATTAAAATAGGCCCACATCATCACACACCCTTCATTAGGCTATACCTAGAGATTGGCATGGGGTACATTCAAGATCTTCTCAATGCTAATCAAACCAGCCAATAAGGGTATGGGTATGTGATGATGTGGGGCTATTTTGATTCCAAAGACTTGTGTTGGAACTTTATCAGGATTACATTTATCATTATTACATTGTATGTATGATAATACAAATGTAAAGTTCTGCATGATGGATACATTAAAGTAACTCGGCACTGAAGTCTCGAGGAGTGTCTTGCTCTGAATATGGCGAGAGCACAGACCACAAAATACTCTTTTGTGAGAGTAGAAACAAACATGACACCCCACTGTGCCATTTTGATGGCTTCTAATGGGAACGCACTGATACGGGTCTGCCTTTCTAATCCTGCAGCTCTAAATTGGAAAAATTGACCTTGCTCACAGAGGTAACTCAGATTTGCTCTCTTTGACATTTCCAGGACTTAGCAGAGTTTTCTGTTCAGATGAACAAGGCCTCGAGGACGGACAAATATTTCATGAGTAATTTAATATCTGGAGCACGCACATGGTCCTCTGTGAATTCGGCTCTGAAAATAGTAGGATGATATCAGTTGACAGCACCCCGAGTCTTCAAGATTGGGGCAAGTCGTGAAGGCGTGGGCACAAAAAAAGAAACAAAAGAAGTAAATATAATAATGACAGTACTATAATGGTAGGGGTACCTAACATAAACTGTTCCCCATCCCAAATACTACAGTTAGTTGTCACACTATTGATTTTGTCAGGTGTAATTAACAGCTTGATATTTATGTTATTAGATATGGGATTGTGTGGGCCCAATAAAACCAGCATGGAGCAGTCACAGCTTGTGCAGACAGGCTGATGGTATTGATCTCTCTATTAGTTTAGACATGGAGCCTGAGGGAAAGGGATCTGGGGAGCAGCTCTCTGCCTTCCCTAAAAACCAGGAGGAAAAGATCAAATAAGTAGTTGAGTCAAGCAAACAGCCACCAGTCAATAATTCTCTTTTTATGGCACTGATACCCACTTCATGCATGATGCATTATTGAACTGGCTTCCAGGCACATAAACAATTCAATTCATCTGATATTGTGTCAACAAGCTGATTAAATTACTTTTATAGTGGCTTATGCTTCTTTTCCCCCCCCCCGAATCATCAATCTAACTGCTGAGAGTTGCCCTCTGATCTCTGATGCAATGAAGAACATGCATTTTCTGTAAAGCTGCTTAGGTATTGTAATTTATACAAATAAATGTGAATTGAATTTAAAATTAAATTGGAGATTTGGGGACAAAAACAACAAAAACATAATTCTCTAAAAAAAAAAGGCTGAGTTGTTTTAACCTAATTCTGGGTCAAATATGGACAAACATTGGGTTAATATATATATATATATATATATATATATATATAAATGTAACCCAATGGCTGGGTTTGTCCAGTTGATTTACTCGCTGCCCTCTAGTGACAACCGTTATACAAAATAATATTGAGCCAAAATCATACTGGGTCTCGTGGTAGCATGTAACTTTTTAAATGTTTTTAAAAGAAATAACATGTGAAATATAGGCCTATATAAAAGTAATTCATCAAAATATAATAAATAACAATCTTTCATATAGGATGATCTTTCATACAGTACTTTAGGAGCTATTCCGGCCTGGGAGTGAAAGCACCCCCTGCTGGCCTGACTAAAGCGACTTCCAATAAAATTCAAGATTTTCCACTAAGGTCGAATTGCCCGTCCACGTCAGTGTCACAGCCTTGTTTGAACCCGCTTATAGCTTCGGTAGTGAACCAGGCTTTGAGCATGGGATGTTACGACTGAATTGCTTCACGCTGCCTTGATATAACGGGTCCAATATAGAATGGAGGGGCAGGGCATCCTGAGTGGCTCAAAATGTATGTATTGCAATACAGTCACACTATAGCAATGCTCTCCCAAATATTCTGCTATTCTAACTGTGCATATTTCCGTCATTGGTGTAAGCAGCAAAGGGTGGTAATAAGAAATGTACACTTGTACACCATCTTGTAAATTAAGTTTCTTTAGTCATTTAGCAACCCTACAGCCACTGTAGTGAAACCAGAACTTGCTATTTCCTTAACTAATAAGGTCAAATTAATAATTAAAGTGGCAATTAACGACCGGCCCTCGGTTAACTGACATATTAAGACAAATAGAGTAATTGTGCAAATGGTGTTCTGCCTGAGCATTTTACTTTAAATATTAATAACCATTTCTAAAAAAGAGTCTAATATTTTTTTTTAGAAAATATATAAATAAATATTAAAAAATAACATAACATTTTTTTTAAAGAAAAACAATGCACCAAACAAAAAAGAATTATTCAATTTAAAAAATATATATATATATATATATATATATTTGGAAAATATATAAACTGATGAACATAATGGATGTGTAAAGACAGGAGGGTGGCTTTAAAGGAGGAGATCTTCAGATTATGACGTCCAGGCCTGCAGTTGGCCGAGAGGATGCTGAGAATTTACGGGTTATTGTAAAGATTAAAGCATGGCTGGTGAGTGGCTTTAAGCTCTGGTTGTGTCTGTTTTCCGCTTTAATGGAATTCCACTTTAAATGTTTGTTTTTATTTTTGTATGCTTGTTTGTTTAAGAAAATCAAGCCTGTGTGAATAGACGTATCATTTGGGAAATATACAATGTGGAAGGAGGAGTAAACTCTGTGGTAAAGGAGTAAACCTTGTGGTAAGACATTTTATCATTTATGAGAAAATATATTAGAATCAATGTTTTGAGTCATACACACAATGCTGTTTTATTGTTTCATCATGCTCATAGAAAATGTATCACTGATTTTTTTTTCTTTATGATTTTAAGATTCAATGTATAAATTGTAGATACATATTGACTTGACTAGCTTATATGTGAAGTTCAGAAGATCCTTTCTCTTTAAGCCTGGCAGAGAAGGAGACCACCAGACTGCAAAGATGAAAGTGAAATGGACCAAGTTGGGCATGGTCTTCTTTCTGCTTCTCTCTTTTGTAATGACGGGCTGTTTTCTTTGGCAGTACAGGATTCCCAAAGCAACGCCAGGTAAAAATGGCCCAAATTTAAAAAGGCTATACTATACTGTAGAGAGATCCAGCAAGTGATCATCAAACATCAATGAATGGATGGATGGAGAATGCGTATAGAAGAGATTATGCATTTTGCTCCCACAAATAGAAAACCAAGATGATTTTTATTTGTTTTTTTACTTAATAATGCCTAGAGAGCATTTTCAGAATTGGGGAACATCCTTACATTTGGCTTTTCAATCTCCTTATGCTTAATTAATCGTTTGCAGCAGGAGATGGCAATGGATTACCCGGAGCTTGACATAGTGGCTTACTGTGTGCTGGAAAGCCTGATTATCACTTGGGGGAAGGGAACAGGAACTTTGTGTAAAATACATGACTATGGACGAAACACCCACCCCCATCCTCCATTACATGTTAAATGTATATATATATGAGTGACGGCATTATGATTTTTCATATTATATAAGTGGGTCACACTAAAAGTTCTTTATTTATCTATGTATAAATAAAGCCTTTATTTATCTATATATTTGACACCCTACATGTGGTCTTTTTACTTTACAGTGGATATAAGAGTTGCAAAAGAAGTGAAAGAGGAGAAGATGTGCCCACGTTTCCCTGAGGCCGTACCGCTGAAGCACCCAATACCTGTCCTCATGAATGCTTTGGACAAGGTCAGAAGTAAAAAAAAATTCTGTGTAAATTCCTAGATCACTCTGATTGGAATATCAGTTAATTTCTGTTTATAAAGATTGATAACTAGTTTGATAACTATTACAAAATGATGTGCCACAGGTGGATGTGCTTTTGAGAACCAACCTTGATTCCACAAAACTGCCGGCCGTTTCTGCCATTGTAATATTTAATGATTCTGTATTGTGGAATGGTAATTTTGGCAGAAAAAATGGAAGTGACCCGAAGTCTCCCCCAATAAATGAGTACACAGTTTACAGGTGGGTTACAGTAGCTTTGCACACTTAGTTTGAAAGCAATAAGAGCAGAGGTCCTTCTCTTGTTGCTTCGGTTCTTAGGGTGTTTCACAACTAATTTAAGGAGCTAAATAAGCTTAAGGAGCAACTGTCTATTCTTTTTGTATATATATATTATAAACACACACACACAGACATATATATATATATATATATATATATATATATATATAAAATCTTTATCATGCATCCAAAATACAGTAAAAACAGTAATATTTTGAAATATTATTACAAAAGAAAACATCTGTTTTCTATTTGAAGCATTTATTTGGATTTATTAAATGTATTTATTTATCAAACCATTTATAAGATAGAAATTTTTTGTAACATCATGTAATGGTGGCATGTAAATAAAATTGAAAGGTCTTCACTGTCACTTTTGATCAATTTAATACATTATTAAAAAAGAATATCAATTTCTTTCTTTTTTTAATCTTATCACATATGTTTGAATATCATCATTATTTCCATAAAAATGTGAAGCAGCAAAAACAATTGTTTTAAAATAATATTTCAGAATAGCGTGAGTTGTGCAAAATGGACGTGGAAAAGTGACTCAAATTTAGATAATACATTATAAATATTTATTGTATATACAAAGCTGTGTGCTCTTTTTTGTAATTTGCTTCTTTGTTGTTTATGGTTATGGTTATACTACAAAAGAATTGCAAGCCTCTCAAAAATCTTCCCCACCTTGATGCTGTATAAACTTTGGGAGGATGGAAAAGTGGATTCCCTGGATGACCCTCTGGGAAAGTATGTTAAGAACTTCACCATGAAAAACCCTCTGGGGAAAAGATGGGGTCATGACCTCAAGTCCATCTCTGAAGGCATGAGCAGTAAAGAGGCTCAAGCTCACATCTCCTCAGTTACCTTGAGAAGGATGGCCAGTCAGCTGTCAGGTGAGGACCACAGTGTCTGTCACTGACCTCACCGATAGATGATTAGCATTAGCAATAGTGCACTCCACTGATCCATGTGCTGTAAAAATAAAGGTGAAAAAGATCAACTGTTTTTAGACTAGGAGTTTCCACGGCTATCTTAATCAGCTCCATTTCCTGACATGGTTAAGTGGGTTTGCCACATGTCCTCTAGGATTAGACCAGAAGGAATGGCTCTAACATATACTGTTGCCAAGCTGATGTTTATATAACAACGCATTCTCATCCCAAGGCGTCATATACCAATGTGTATTACATCCAACGCACATGGCACCCTTTAGCGTCAATATAACACGCACAGAGTATGGTTAGTTTTAGGTCTGGGTTAGGGTTAGGATTTGACCACTAGGAGGCGCCTTCTGACCCACATATATCTGCGTGACGGCAAAGGGGTGCCAATAGCGTCGGTATATGACGCCTTGGGATGAAAACGGGCCGTTATATAATGTGTCAGAAATACTTGTGATGATTATTTTGGTACACTTAATTGCATTCAGAAATAACCGGTAAGTTTTTTGACAAGAAAATTACATGGAAATCTTTTTCTGCCATCACTCATAAAATCATAAATCACTCATAACTCATAAAACTGTTTAGAATGAAAGACCATTTCTGTCTTAGAGTAAAACAATACAAAGATAGCCTAACTGTGCCTGTAGTCCCCATAATTGTGAGTTTATATCTTACAATGTGACCTTATTTTAAAATGTCTCGTACAATTGTTTTATTATTATTATTTTTACCATCATTTTTAGGATGTAAAAATTGCACAGAAGCATCAAATCAGTTATCATCCGATATTAGAGATTGTTTTATTTGTTTTTATTATTCAGTATTAGACCGACGTTTTATATTTTATTGTCAATGCTCATTTTCTCTATTTTTCATTTACATTACTTATACTGTAATTTAATCTTCAATTGAAAAGATTAAGAACTTTATGTTGTGATTGATTTCAGTTTTTAGTGTTTGCATCTGCATCACTAATAATTTTAATTTCAAATCACAAACAGAATGTTTTAAAATCTTTGATGACTAATTTTTGAAATGGCGGACAAGGTAAACACCATATCAAATGAATGCAAAAATGAAATCCTGGATATTTTGGATTCATTACTAACTACAGGCTTACCAAGGAGGCTCAGGGCGACTACTTTACTCTGGAAAGGCAACACTCAGGCCGCTGTGGATTTATTACAAGATGATGTTCTCGTTGCTGACCCTGGAACAAAGTAAGTTAGTGCAGAGAATTTGTATGGAGAGGATGTTTAATGAATGAGAGGAGGTGTAAATAATTGACGACAGTAGATGCAGTCATGCACTTGTGGATTCTCAAAGTAATTCTAGTCCTCTGCTGTCCTCAGATGCCACTACAGCAACTTAGCCTTCTCCCTGCTGGCTCACGTGATGGCGGAGAAGGTAGCAGGGACGGATTATCAACGATGGGTGTCTGAAAATATCTTGCAACCACTGGGAATGGAGGACACCGGATTTGAAATCACCCCACAGATTGAGGACCAGATGGCAATAGGTGTTTACTCAAGTGGGCAGCCTGCACCCCTGTATGACCTCGGCTGGTATAGACCATCGGGGCAAATGTACTCCACGCCTGCTGACATGGCCAAACTGGTGATGATGCTGCTGGGCGCATACTACCGTCAGGTTCTCAAGCCCGAAACCCTCAAAACCATGCTGACTCCTCTGTTTCGCTGTGAAAAAAGTTACTTTGCAGAACAATCGGGCACACCTTGGGAGGTGAATGAACAGTTGGGCTATGACATCATACGTAAAGATGGAAATCTAGATGGTTATTCAGCCTCGATTTCCCTCGTTCCTCGCTTGAAGCTCGGGTTGGTCATTTTAATGGCTGGAACCAAACCTGAAGATGAGGATCTCGTGGCCAAGGCATACAGTTATCTCATCCCTGCCATGGAAAGTGCCTTCAGGAATGCACCTCGTGTTCTCATCCCTCCACCAGACCCTGCTCCCTACATAGGCTTCTTTACTTATAGCAACATAACGTTCTATGAGATCAAAACAGACACAGATGGAGTGCTGTCTCTGGAGCAGTTCGGACCCCAAGTAGACACCATGATTCCTTTGAAGTACAGAAGTTTGAAACTGAGTTATCTGCAGGATAGGGTGTTCAGGGTGGTGTTTGAGAAGGAGTACCCATGTCAGCTGAAGGTTATCGCTGCCTCTGTGTCTCTTGAATCTCAGGACGGGCAGCTCTTTAACTTTTACATCTTCAACAAAAAGGGCCAATCACCAGGTTTTGATGTCCCGGGGTTAAACACCTACAAAGTTGCACGGATAACCCGCAAACCCATTTTCAGCAGTTGAAGAAATAATGTGATCATGCTTTTGATAATCTGAAATCATTATGATCATGAACTGTTAGTGCTCTTTTTGACGAAAGTGTCAAACTCAGAGGAACTTGTGCTCATTTTAATAAATATTTGCCTCAAGATAAGAGCTGAAAGTATAGAATACTTTTTTTCTTATTTTATTGTGACAATTTTGAAAATGTACATTTTTATATAGGCTATAGTGTCACTTGACTTCCATAGAAAAAAAAAAAAATACTATGGAGGTCAATGGTGGCATAGTTCCAATCGTAGATGATGACAGAATTTTCATTTTTGGGTGGAGTATCCCATTAATTAAAAGTGAAGTGTGTGCCTTTCCTAAGCATATCACCTGTACACCAGTTTCCGTACCCAAGTTTAGAATTGACTTGTCTTTAAATGCAGTGTAAAAGGCCCACACCAAGGATGTTAACTATAAGCGTTTCTAACTCGAGATTGATGATATTGACACGAAGGAACGATATCATTAGAATAAATTTCAGAATTGTTTTCCAGCTGATGAATGATAAAAAAAACATTGACAGACAACCAGAATCCCACCTGGAGTGCACTCTTATATTAAACACATTGTTCTTGTGCGTTAGTTTGGACGCTAAAAAGGTTTTGTTATGATGAAATATATAGCCTATTATTGTTCTTAGTGTGAACGGGCCTCGTTTTATCCCCTTAATTTTTATTGATAATGTAAATGTCATTTTTGTTAAGCAAATGTCATTTTTTGTTAAATGTCAGTTTTGTATGCAGGCTGTATATGAAAAAAATCTATACTCTCACACTGTATATGCAGGCTGTATATGTTTTATGACGTATAAAATTTTTTATAAAAAGTGTGTCCCCACATTGGTTTTAATTTATACAAATAAATAAAATATTTTGTTTCATAAATAAAATACTTGGTTAGCCTACACTTTATTTCGATAGCCACTTTAGACGTTCTACTAATTATACGTAACTTTTCAACTACATGTCAACTTACTCTCATTAAAGTATTAGTATAATATAGTAGACTGTCAGTAGACTGTTAGGTTATGGTTTGGTGTTAAGGTTCAGGTTAGGAGAATAAGTTTAGGCTACTTGTAGTCGCCAAGATACTTGTCAGTTGAATGTCTGTTGGGGGACCAACAAAATAAAGTGTTAGCATGAGCTGACAGTCTACTAATACTCTAATGACAGTTAGCTGACATGTAGTTGAAAAATTACTTATAAAGTGGACTATCAAAATAAAGTGTTACCAAATACTTGAATATTATGAAGCACCTGTAGGGTTCTGATATTATAAGCTAAAAAATGTTGTGGCTCAGTGAAGTTTAACAATGGACCCTACCGTGCTGAGTCTGGAGGACAACTGGGAAAATCACTGTTACAAATCTCCAAAATCAATGGGCCTATGTTAGAGGACAGTTATCATAAAATGAGCGGGCAAAAGATAAGAGACCGGGAATGTGCCAGCTTTCTGTTATCCAGCACAAGGTCATTGACACTGTAGGCTAATTCATCTTAAAATGTATAAACTGGGATAACAAAGGAGTAAATTATGTCACAAAGGCCCTTTAAATCCCTCAAAGATGAAAACATTGTTGCCAGTCAGTCCTCAACCCTCAGGCATTCATCTTGTAGGCTGTCCAAGTGAACGCAGTGGTTGCAGGGTTGGAAATTAAAGTTTGAAAGTTTGACAGTTTCAGAACCCGACGTTTTGACGTCGTCAGAACCCGAGGTTTGTTTGACGTCAGAAACCATTGTGGACGTTATGAGTGCATTTATTCAATCTCACATTTAACCCCATGGAACTGTGTTCTTAAAATAAATTTGATATTGATATGACAGCCATAGATTCAGAGGCATAGCAAGGTAGGCCTACTTAGTAGGCTAGCCTATTACATGCAACAATGTTAAAAAAAAAATAATAGGCCTAACAATGTATTGACATTTACTTTTTACTTTTGATACTCAAGTACTTTTAAAAACAAGTAGCCTACTTCTGTACTTTTACTTAAGTAAAAATCAGTCTTTTTCTAGTAATGGAGTAGCCTAATATTTGAGTAGGATATATTCTATGGATATATTTGACTCTATTCAGGCTGTTCTTTTTATAGAAAGACAACATGTGTATAGGCTATTTAATTTTAAGAGAGCTTTATATATATTATTACGAGCCTTTATAATTAATGATTATTATTATACTTAATTAATGATTATATTATTATATATAAATCTCCGAGTATCGCAGATCTCATGGGCTGAAATGCGTGTTCAGCTCTGGACGCAAGATGTCACTGTAACATCACAAATCGGGGCCAAACCGCTCCTTAAACATAGAAAGGATTGTTTATAAGGTATGGAGATGGCATTTAAAATACAAGTTTTATATAATGCCATTATTTTGGGATTTTTGGCGTTTATAATGATCTCATTGGCTGTTGGATCCGGTTGGTTGGATCACATCCAAGTAGTTCATATGAGTTCCGGACCAGATACACACTCGTTGCTAATTCCACTCTCCGAAGTTTCACGAAAACACCCGAAGTGAACGAACGGTCGGTCCTGTAGGACTGCTGGAGGCGGCCACAGCGCCATGTTGAACGGAATCATCATACTCCGTGGAAATACTCTCGTCAAAGAGCAGTTGTAAACAAGGTGTTATTTATTTCCCAAAAGGGGCACACCTATCAAGATCGCCCTGGCAAGAAGAGGCAAACTAGATCCTCGGAAACCCCGGCCGGGGAGGGGGACCAGCCCCCAACCTTCAGCAATGAAGATAAACCACAATAAGCGCTAGATGGCTAACTTCAGCCTGCTATTCTCTCAATAAGCTAGCTAGCCTGTTAGCTCAAGATTTTCTATCGGCTCAGACACCGGCAAACTGCTCCTGCAAGGCCAGGTGTTGACGTAACTCTCCAGCAATATTTTTTTTACGTGCACTGTTTATCCGCTTGCTAATTTATTTGTAAATATCTGTAAAGCCGTTCGTTTTTTAATTTGTTTTATTTGCGATGAGTTTGCCGCCGAAAGCGGTGTCGAACCCAGCCGCTGCTGCCGCCGCTGGAACTGGACCCGGAACCGGGCCGTCACCCTCGAGCCAGCTGCGGGCCACCCTGACCACAGTACCGCTACCGCCAGGGACACCGGTGGCTCAACAGCCTCTGCCAGTGCCGCAGACACAGTATCCTTCTCTGAAAGCATCTGGCTCCTTCACAAATATGTGTTTTTTTCTACCCCAAAACCTAGTGAGCTCAGCTGCCTTCCTTGCCTGGACAGTGTTTCTGAACATCTTAGGGATTCGATTTGATGCGCATATAATGCCAGAAACTGCTGTCCAGGCAGATGGGTCACTAGGTTTTGACAGCGCTAGAGTGTGTTGTACTGTGTACAACACTAAATGTTTGGTTTGGTTGTGATTTAAGTCTAGTTTTGTTTCTTGTACATGTAGGTTGTAGTGTAGTGCAGTAGTAACCGTGTTATGTTTATGTGACTGTCAAAAGCCGAGCTGTCAACACACAGGTCTGATCCCGCCGGGCAGCTAGCTCTCTTTTTTCGTATAATTTTAAAAAATAAGAAATTATATTTAGATGTCGTGATTACTCACTTTTTATGTTGTTACTAACCCTTATGGCCGACCTTTGCGTATAATATATATATATATATGAAGAGTTCAGATGCAAAAGCCTCTAAGTGCCATTTGAAATGTTCTTCTAAAATGATAATTTTTTTCAAGCTTGTATATTTAAGTTCAGTAATTTCACTTAAATGGCAATGAAGATTACCTATTAATTGTCATTTAAGTGAAATTACTGAACTTAAATATACAAGCTTGATAAAAATGGTCATTTTAGAAGAAAATTTCAAATGGCATTTAGAGGCTTTTGCATCTGAACTCTTCATATATATATATATATATATATATATATATATATATATATATATATTAATACACATATAATACATGTTGTCACCATTCACTTTCATTGTATGTTTTTCCATACAATGAATGGTGATTAAGGTTGGGATTCTAAATTGTTAATTTTTTTTTGCGTGAACTCTTCCTTTAAGTCAAGACACTAAAGGTGAATGGGGTAAAAAATAATAGATATCACCATACTTCCCCTGTTTATTAAAGGAGAGTTCATATTTTGCTTGCAAACATATTTATAATAACATGCACTGAAATCATTTTGCCTACAGAACAGAAATCTTAACATTGTTTCATTTTGTTGACATATTACAGTAAACTTATTTACAGATGAGGTTTTCAATTTATCTCTTTTCACACCATAAAGCAGAAAATACTGTCAACAGCCAGAAAAAAAATGTATTTAAAGATATATTGTAATTTAAATATATAGATGCAAAATAATATATAAAATGTAATAAAATAAACAACTATGGAAGCAAAATAACCCAATATCTAAAAATTGATCAATGCGTAAAAAACAACAACAATTGTTTTGCCTGTAGTGTCTTCTAATAAGATCTGGCTGCCCTCATATACCACTGATATCTGTTACTTTTACAGTAAGGTAGGGTGAACTAACAATTTTGCTTGCCCTCAATGTCTTGTTTATATTTCTTTATGGCTCTATAACAGTCAACTCCCTTCTGTTGTAACTGTCCATGTTCCTCTGTCAGCATCTTATTTCCTGCACAAACAAGTTGCTTTTTGATTATAGGTTAATAGGGTAGTTTTAATGTATATCTAGCTTCTAATATAACTTCCACTTTTCTTTTCATCATAAGAAAGTAAGTATGTTGATAATATATTGATCTGGCATTTGCATTTTTTTTGGAAGATAAATTAAAAGGGTAATATATATATATATATGAGAGAGAGACAATCATGTTTTTTTTTCCTCTTTTTTATACGATTTTTTTTATACGATTATAAAAAAACTTTTTTTATAATCGTAATAAAGAAAATGCATCCTCAATGCACTGGTTTCATTTATGAGTTAGTTGTCAGGAAATCTACTTTTGCTAGTTGAGAATTAGCTGCTATTAACTCTAACATGACATATAAGAGATCAACCAAATCAGTAGTTGATCTCTTATAACTAATTTCAGTCAATATTTGCATTTATTGTTTCTCATATTGCACTCTGATTTAAGCAGGACAATGGCTGAGGAAACCAGTGGAGTATCTAAAGCAATTGAGGATGATTTTGAAGTGAAACCGAGAAAACAAGACATTGCTGTGTCATTGCAAATGTATATCTGGGAGAATCATACTGTAGCACTAAAAATAATCTGTAACCTACAAACCGGTTGAAACTGTGGCTGTAAAAGGGTGACGTGGTTGTGGAGCATGAGAAAACTGTGAAAGTGTCTTGGCAGCAAGCCAAGGGAAAGTTAAAATGAGTAACTAACAGCTGTTGTTACAGTAAACTGTAGCCTACATTATCCCTTTTTGAACTCTGTGTATGTATCTGTGGTGCAGTGGAGGAGGAAGGGCTTCCCCACCCTCTTAAGTTAACAATAGCCTGGTTGTACAGACAGAACTGAGGCATCACGGATCTGCTGCTGGGCTGGAGATGGAAGACGCATCTCCGTCCTCTACCCCAGCAGCATCTTAATACACAATCAGTTTCTTGTGTAGGACAGTTTTGCTGCACCTTTTTGCAGCACGGATGATGATGTTCGTTTGTGCGAGAACCTCATTTCTTAGAGGAATCGCACAGAATGACTCCATCATTCAAAATACACTGTTTATTCAGTAATGTGAAGGATGGTTGATTATATGGAAGAGTTAACCTACTATTCATGTGAATTTTGCATCGTTTTCTGGCGTGGCTGGAGGTTGTGAGCTCATAGAGGAACAGGGAAACACTGAAAAATG